TGCAGAACAGCTTTGCAAGAGGATCTCAGGAAGTACAGGCAAGGTAAGATACTGGAAGCAGCCGAAAGAAGACGAAGTCTCAAGAAGTGCCGAAGGGACCTCTGCGAATATCACGTACCGCTGGCTGCACTACTGAACGAAGACGGGACTCCGACTTCTTCCCGATACAAGATGGAATCTATCGCGAAGAACTTCTGCACCAACCTCTTCCGCTCATCAACACCCGTGCAGATGCCCCGTTGTTCCCACTGGAGAAGTACCACCACGAATTCTACCTGCTGAAGTGCGTATCGCGATACAGACCATGAAGACGTCCACGGCTCCAGACCAGATCATCTTTCCGTCGAACTTCTGCGAGCCGGAGGACACCGTCTACACGAGATTCTAGCGTCGCATTTGACATCTTACCTTCAGAAGAAGAAGATTCCAGACCAGTGGAGAACGTCAAGAACAGTCCTTCTCTTCAAGAAGGGTGAACGGGAGGATCTTCGGAACTACCGTCCAGTATGCCTGCTGAGTGTGCTGTACAAGCTTTTCACGAAGATTATCCTCGCTCGCATATCTAGGACACTGGATGAAGCCCAACCCCAAGAACAAGCTGGATTTCGCAAAGGATTCAGCTGCATGGACCACATCCAGACGGTTTCGAGGGTCATAGAAGTCTGCCGGGAATACCGACTGCCTCTCGTCCTAACCTTTGTCGACTACGAGAAAGCCTTTGACAGCGTCGAAACCAACGCCATCCTGTCTGCGCTAGTCGATCAAGGAGTGGACCCAGCTTACGTGAGGACGTTAGCCGACTGCTACAAGGACTGTACAACGACGATGCAGGTATTCCATCGCCCCCTGACCATACCAATCGGGAAGGGGGTCCGACAAGGCGAGACAATCTCGCCGAAGCTGTTCACCGCGGCCTTGCAGTGGGTGATGAAGTCACTGGACTGGGACGAGAGAGGCATACGAGTTGATGGGAGATTCCTGTCGAACCTTCGTTTTGCGGACGACATCGTTCTCTTTTCGAGCAGTATCACTGAAGCAGAGACGATGCTGAAGGAACTAAACGAAGTAGGGAAGAAGATCGGACTGCGAATAAATCGGAAGAAGACTCAGTTCATGAAGAACGCCCTTTGCGAAGATGCAGAAATGGAATTGGAAGGCACCCCGATTATGGAGACGTCTTTTTACGTGTATCTCGGATCTTCGATGAACATGGAGAACGACTTGAGGGAAGAACTTAACAGGAGAAGAAGAGCAGCCTGGGCCGCCTTCGGGCCTCTGAAGGAAGCCACCGACCAACTGACGGACCCGGAGCTTCGTGCCCACCTGTTCGACTCAACCGTTCTCCCGGCGCTCTGTTACGCAACTGAGACTTGGGCCGACACTGTAGCCACGTCGAAAGCTTTACGGACCACCACAGAGCGCTCGAGCGCAGTCTTCTGAAGATGACCCGACGCAAGCAACATCTAGTCGGACTTCGCAGCACGGATATGAGAAGAATGTCTCGTCTTCGTGACCCAGCGGAATACATCGCGAAAGCCAAACACCGATGGGCCGGTCACATAATGAGAAGAACAGACGATAGATGGACACTAAGAACATCGGAGTGGATTCCTCGCGAAGCCAAACGTCCTCGAGGAAGACCACCAACGAATGGGCAGACGTGTTCGTGGAACGGATGGACCAGCTGAGAAATCAGCTGGATGCGACTTTCGCCCCTGGAACTCGTGGACGCAGTCACCGACGACGGCCAAGAAGATCGTGGATGTCTGAAGCCAGGGACAGGGAAAACTGGCGACTTCTGTACTGGGGCCCGCACATCACGTGAGGACGGGCCATCTAACAAGGGAACCGTGTCGAGTCGAAGTGGCCTTTCCAAGTGAGACCCATACTGCTTTAAAGAGTATTAGGCGGTGATTCCAAATCTGCTTTCCAAATCTGCCAAGCGCCTCTGGACGCCGAGATATGACCGTTTTTCGGAACGAAAAATGAATGCAGAATTTAGGTAAAATTGATTGTTACAATCTTTCCAGCGCTCAGATAAAGGACCGTTAAGTATTAGCATATAAAATAAAATGTATCCATTGCATAAACAGCTCTGATACTCGACACTGAACCATTTGAGGAAACTTGGACGATTTTGCTTCAGTTTTGCGTTCAATTTTTTGACCCGAAAAACGAGCATAACTCGGCGTCCAGAGGCGCTTGGCAGATTTGGAAAGCAGATTTGGAATCAACGATTGATGCGCTTCAAAGCAGTATGGGTCTCATCCGGAAAGGCCACTTCGACTCGACACGGTTCCCTTGTAAGTATCTAAGTAAGTACGTAGGTGAATTTCAAAAACTTCGCGACCCATTCTCGGGGAGGGCCCCCCTCGGTACGCCACTGCCTTGAGGACAAAGTTTACCCTCACGTTCGTTGAAGAATACGGCCACAGAGTAGAAAGTATGTGCCTTAGCAAGTAAGAAACTCGTGGAAACTATCTAGATGAAGATACAATTTTTCTTTCGATTTTTAACGCATTCTAATCCTTTTGGTTTGGTTTCGAACTTTATGCTGAACAAACCTTAGCAGTGTGGGCGTCGTCTTGTAGAGCTTGGCTTGCTCTATCGAGCAGTATCCCTTTTTGAGGTTCGCTAGGCTGCGGTGCCATAGCATGCAAATAAATACGACATTATTTTCTTGACAACCTAATAGAAACTTCCCGCGCAGATATACTTGAGAGATGCACGAAGACTGCATTTATGATCATGGTCATGGAAGGCAACTTATCCGTAGTTTGACTGTATCTAATTTTGCGCACCATCAGCTTGCCTGCTGTAATCACGCCATCAGCTTGCTTCCTATAACGTCAGCCTCCTTTCTTAACAACGACTTTTTTTTATTTCGAGAAGCTCGAGTCTTCATAACGCCTGACAAAGGATCGTTTCCAAGAAAACAAATTTCATAAATTTGATGCTCTTTTGTTTCAAAAAGGCCAGGTGACAACTGAATCGTGTTTTGTTCACACTGCATTTTTCAAGTTTTACGACCATGTCGCTCATAGTAACACGGACAGCGTTGTGAACATAAAATCACGATGCAATGGACAAATCTGAGAAGAAGATCCGGCACGAATATTAGCGAAACCAACATTGACTTTTCAACTTCATTTTGATAACCTCTCTCTCCTCGAAGATAGCGCGGTCGAACTTCGCTAAAATGTTAATCATTACGAAACACGACATACTATCAGTTTCTGCGTTCTTCTTCAAACCTTCTGTAGACTTGCTTTCAGAAGTACAACCATGAACACTCCTATGGATATCATGCAACTGATAATCATGCTCTTGTCTTAGTCATTGAATGGGATGTGCGCAAAATGATGATCTTTTGGAAATGACTGAAAAATGAATGCTAGCGTCAATATTTCTTAGAAAATTGTTTATATGTAGAAGTTAACAGAAGGGATGACTTGTGTTTTAAAAGTTTAAAAAACGCCGAACCAAACAGAAAGCCCATGGAGTTGCGATGCCTATGCTGAGTATTGCAGGATTAACATTTAGTTTACGGTTGACGTAGTGCCACTGCAGTTCCGACAACACTTGCGCGAAAACAAATGCCATGCATGTGAATGTCGAAAACTTGCTTGCAGCCAGCGAGTTGTAAGTGAACTAGTCATGGAAAGCACATTACCATTATTTATCTGCATAAATTCCGGCAACAAAAGATTTGTCTGCAGTAAAATTGAGGCTTAGTAAAAGAAATTGATGGAAAGGATTTGATTAATGAAGACGAGAATAATGTGAGAAGAGAGTTGTCGGCTCTTCAAAGCACAACCTGCAATTAGCTGAAGAACCACTCAAAGGTGTGTTTGTGGATATGGGTATCGAGTGTTAAGCCTCCTTGAGGTGGATTTTGATCAAGTTATCAGTGATGAGACTTTCACCGGATGCCATGTACGAAAAACGATTTTCATCCTAGGTAAGCTGCATTCTCAAGGATCCAAAATCAGTAGAAGTCTTTGATGGCTCAGATACTTTGTCTAGACTCTTTACGAGAAAGCTTAGTCTAGGATCTGCACTTCAAAACATTCCAGCTACGCCTACTACAACTCGAGAGGTGTTTGCAAGTCATAAAAATCTTGGTATTAACGATAATGGAAATTGAGGGTGACATTTGCCCGACTCAGGAAAGTTGCCTTAGGCCTAAGGCATACCTCACGCGATTTTAGTCACCGCGCGATTTGGCACTGCAACGACTCTCCATAGCTGGTCGTAAACGCACTTTGCTTTGGCCAGACTTGCTGCGTTTGTTACAATTTACGGAAACTGCGCACCCATGCATCTGACAATGAGAGCCTCGCATGCTTAATCTCTGAACATCTGGCAAATCGCCAAGTCGCGAGGATGTGGCGATTTCGTGAAATCTCGAGAGGTATGCCTTAGGCCTTAGAAAGAGTCCTGACTGGACTTTTGGCAGACATGTATTTCAAACCGTTGTTTTCACGCAGAATCACCTGTGTGACACTAAATACAAGCTTCTGCAGATATATAAATACGCTATGCGTACCTCATTTTGACGACGGAAGCAGTCTTCTCACAATCAGAAGTATAGTTATTTCATGCATGCAGATTTGGGGAAGAAGCGATGACGAGAAGAAAAAACGGGAAAGTTCTTTATTGATGCGGAATTTAATTATGAACTACTATGCGACTATTGTATTTGTGTTTTCAAATTCTTATCGTTAGAAATGAAGCATCCTTTTCACTTTGCTGTAAACTTTCCCAAATCTCGCAAAACTTTATAAGCGTTTTTTTTTGAGATGTGACTAGTTACTGCATATTAGTTTTAGTTGGAAATGAGATTTTTTCCTTGCTGCTATGATAATAAAAAGCACCAGTGTAGTAGCTCTACCTGGACTTGTACTCTTGAAAGCTGAAGCTTTACTTCAAATTGTTTCCTTTTCGATGCTGAACTTGTCGTAACAAAAATCTTCTGATATAACAGCTCCTAGTCGGAGATAACCGTTTATGTGCAATAATTTAGAAATTCATGCACAAGGTAGGAAGCATTCGATGTAAGTGCCTTGAGCACATTTAATTTCTCTTCTGTACACATTTGCATCTCATGTACAGTCTCCGGCCCATGTCTTTGTTCCAAATGAGTATGCATATTCCTTTTGAGGAGCCCTAAAAAATTACATAAAGAATAACTTTTGTCATTTCAAGCAAGTTGCTAGTGGCAAGCCTTGCGTTTGTGAAAACATGAGGAGTTTTATGGTCTTAGGAATTTCGTTCCTTCATTCTGGAAAAGGGGCGAAAAGGGAGAAGGCAAGAAAGGCGAAAAACGCTTGAACAGCGCAACGAGAAAATGGTCACAGTAGGTTAATTAATTGTGCTTGTTGAAGGTACTCCTTCAAGTGAATTAGGGTAATTCCGTATTTATCGGAATTGCGGATCAAAAGGAGTGGCATCAAGGGTTCCATGTACCACACAACTGTGCAAGCCAGTGTTTTTTGCTTGGTAATAATAAAATTAATATCTGAAAATTTATGACAGCATTGGCTCTGCAAAGTTGTGGCGTAATGACACCAAGCTTCCTCTTTTCCAAATTTTAGGAATTACCCTATTTTCAGGTCTATAAGCCGCACCCTTTTCGCTCTAAACGCGAGCAGACCCAGGCGTGCTGCCGCGCATATGTCTCGCGAGCGGTCGCCTTATCGCATACTGCTCTCATTTAACGCGCTCCATGATGACAGTCAGTCTTTTGGCGTGTTCGCCTTTGAGCGAAAAGGGTGCGGCTTATACACCTTAAAATAGGGTACATCTCAAGAAAATCGAAACACATTTCAAAAAATTTTTCCTTCGTTTGATCATCTGCCGCGAACTCGAAGAAGTTGGAGTCATCATTATTGTTTAGTATCACATTTTAATGTCATTGCCTCCTTAATTTTTTAAATCAAATTTACTAAGCGCAAATACATTGATTCCTTACCTTTGCCTTGCACTTAAGCTGACATTTTTTAAGGTCACAGCTACCTCCAAAGCTCGTAGAAAAGCTCTTTGCGCCGCCTGTCAGGAATGAAAACAGCAGAAAAGTGATCAAGAATAGATTCATGTTTGTAGAAGGCAAATTATCAAAGACTGTGAAGTTATCAGAATCCTGCGGTGTCAGGCACAGGTGTTTTCTTATAAATCAAGCGTTTAATTTGAATATTCGCGCAAACATTTCGTCTAGTTTATGCCGTATGATGGTTTTCTTATTTATGAGAGGCAGCGATAAAGATCCGTTTTTATTCCTATCATGCAAGCTGGTTTGTGTTACAAAAACAAAAACGACTGCATCCATTTTCAAGAGATTCTAAGGTATAAGTGATAGGCTAATTTTGTGAGTTAAAAAAGACTCCAAAATTTAGGCCGCTGCAATTCAATCTTATAAATCACTAGCTGGCAAACCCGGCTCCGCCCGGCCCTGTCATTATTATATTCGTAATCAGCATGCTCGATTACCCCCCTGTGCCAACTCCCAGCCCCGTAGCTCAAATTTTGCAAAAAATCGACAAAATCGATATCGATCGATAACGAAAAGTAGCCTATGACACGCTCCCTGCCCCGAAGTATATGTGTGCCAAGTTTGGTCCCGATCGGTTCAGAAATAAAAATTTCTATTCCGCACATACGTACAGACAGACATACAGACATACATACAGACAGACATTCAGCTTTATATATAAGATTCCGAAAGTATTTTCGCTTTTTTCAAAGGGGCGCCAAATCTGAAGGAAAAGTGTTTTCTAAGAAATCTTGGTAGCATTCGATGCAGCACTTCATCCTCTTTTTAACAGTGGTGAAATCGTCGCGGCTTAGTCATTGAGCTCTATACTAAAAGCTAGCTTTATACTATAAAAATACTCAAAACCTGTGATCCATGCTTTTTGAAATAGTCAAGTTTCACAATTTTTCAAAACCTTCATATCAATCCTCATAAGGAGTTCAAGTAAAGATTAAATAGAGCAAACCCTACAGGATACACAACAATTTTTTTCTCCTTCACGCACCTCTTCAAAATTTTTTAATAAAATTTTAACTGATGCTACCAATTTTCATACTTCGTCAACTCAAATCTCGTGAAACATCAATGAGCGAGGAGCTCGGGGGCTGTTTGATGCCTCTCACTTGCTTTATGAAATCAACATTGAGTCATACATCATATTGAAAGCTTCAAATTCCGAGTAATTACTGATGTTTGATGCGATTGTGACTGAGATAGGCTTGTCAAAATCCAGTAATTTTGGTAAAAAATCTTTTAAAAAATTACGGCGAGCTACGAAAAAGAGAAAAAAGTTGTTTTGTATCCCATAAGGTTTGCTCTATCTAATCGTTATTTGAACTCCTTCTGAGGGTTGATACAAAAGTTCTGAAAAATTGTGAATCTTGACAATCTCAAATTGGTTATTTTCCGAAAGCTCAATGACTGAGCTGCAAAGATTTTACAACTGTTAAAAAGAGGATGAAATGCTGCATCGAATGCCACCGAGATCTCTTTGAAATGTTGTTCCATCACATGTGGCGTCCTTTTGAAAAAAGCGAAATTACTTTCGGAATGACCTAATACAAAGCTGAGCACGTAATATACTTATATGGGTTATAAAAATGTGCAAGTGACTTGTTTGTACTTGTAAATGATCATAATAATTTCAAATCTCTTAAATATGCAAATTAGCCTTGTAAAAAAATTATTTTCCTGGCGTGGCCACCGCCACACTCCCTTCTTCTAATACTTTGGAGCCATTTGCCCGCAAAAATTTTGGGAAGCGCCCAAAAAAATTTTCCGGAGTGTGCGGCTAAGGCCACGCACCTTCACTACCAAAAGAAATGAAAGTTGCCTTTTTTGTATTGCTTGCTCGAAAATCATAACATTTGATGGAAACTTTCAACCAGTAAAAACTTTGCACATGCAGAAAGAGCAGGTAACAAAACCTACACTACTGACTGCTCCGATTTTTGTTGCAAGTTGCCGATTTTTTACTACCCTAAACCAAAAATTCAAAGTTTGAGTAACTTCCTCCGCTCCTACCTATGCAACAGATGAACATTGGTAAACAGCTAAGTTATCACTATAAAGAGGATGATCTGTGGCCGTATTCATCATTGATACCTTGAGGTAAATTCCACCTCCAGGTAGTTTTATCACTCATTATTAGCAAGTACCCGTATTCACAAAAGTACCTTGAGGTAAACTCAATGTAATTTTGCTGATAGCGAGTGATAAAACTACCTGGAGGTAGAATTTACCTCAAGGTATCAATGATGAATACGGCCACTGGTCTCTCACACAAAAATAAAAGCAGTTGAATCGGTCGGAGTCAGAAGTTATGGACCTTTCGAAATGGTGCGAACGAACTTTCGGGACGAAGCACAGCATCGCTTTGGTAAAAAAGGAAATTTTCTATTTTTTGGTTTCTGGCTGATTAAAAATCAGCAACACCACATATGAGTATGATGTGGAGTGTATATGCGTAAGCAAGTAAGAGAGTAGGACTTTCTTGAACGAAGATATAAAAAATTTTCAATTTTCTGAGCACCCGAATCTTTGTAGAATTTGGCAAACTTGAAGCTGGTACAAATGCATAAACGTCATCTCATAGAGCTTACTTTGCTCTATCGAACGATATCCTGATGTCGATTTAGAACAAGAAGTGTATGACTTATTACAGCAAAAACCCCTAATGTATACGTATAATACCCTGGCTCCTAATTATTCATAAAAGAATGAGAAACAGGCATAAAAAGCGAAAACCTCTGAAGACAGTTGGTGCATTCGGGCACATAGGTTTTTCGTTTGCAAAGTGATGAGGGGCCCTAAATTATCGCAATGCCCAAGCGGCAGCGCAAAGCATTCGTTCACGTCTGAGAAATCCATTTCAAAACCCTCAAGCCCTGCACCGTGACCGTAATACGCAATTGATTCTGCTTCTATTAGCACTATGTCTGCTGGGAGCCGTCCCTAGTCACTCGCGAGTTACAGTCACGGCGCAGGTTTGATGGATTAATAATATGAAATGGATTTCTCAGCAGTGAATGAGTAATTTGCGCTGCTACCTGGGCATCGCCTTAGATTGTAACCCCCTCACCAATCTCCATGCGAAAAACGCACGCGTGATTTGCCCGAGATTTGCCTGAACTCTGCCTTTGAGTCTATGATTCCTGAACGAGATACTAGCTTAGGGCGTGCCGGCTGCGCTGTTTGCCGTTAGACGGCATGTACTTACAACCAAGTGGATTCTTACTGCAGCACAGTCTCTTGAGAGATGCGTCGCCGAGCTGCGCAGAAGGTACCTTCACCAAATTTTTCCACTTCGTGCAGAGTCATGGAAGAGCCAAGAGTTTGACGATGACATGAAGTTTGGCCTCCACTTTGTTTTCCGCATGTTATGAGCGGCATTATATACTGACGTTTCACAGAATAAACCTGGTTAATTCATTTGTGAGAAAATGTATGCATACTTCAACGATGTGACTTCTAACTGTTAAACAACGAGGATGAATGCATTCATCAAATGTTTGTTGTTACAACAATGGCGTGCGACAACAATATAGGGAGCAGGTAGGCATTGTCGCAATAAAACAATATAAGATAAGTCATTGAAGAGAATTGCCCGAATAGTACAGGTACATTACACCATTCCGAAATTGCATCCGTAAAATATAAATGAATATTAAATCGTAGAAATAAAAGCAGACTAAATTTTACATCCTTTTCAGTAACTACCCAGTCAGATCCTGGAACAAGCAGAATTTGCAGCGGTTTCGCAGGATTTTGTCCTTTACAAAGAAACTTTAGACCCCCTCTGAAAAACCAATAAACCTTGAAGACGAAAGTATCGCCGTGACCAGAGAGCTGACCCCATATCAAACCCACTGTGAGTTTTGATCTACGAGGTCAGATTCAAGGGGCCGCAAAGTAATTAACAGTAAGGCGCACTCCGTATACGGCGGTTTGCTACATAACGGCTCTCTCGATAAGCGCTGACTCAGTTCTTCACGTCTCTGCTACCAATTCAGCTCCTGCCCATGACGTTGCATTATATCTTGTCGTCGGATAGGTGTTTGAGAAATTATCAAACCTTTTGCGATCTTCTCAGGTCTGAGAAAGTCGACGACGTCGAAACGTCAACCGTGATTAATGAACTCCTGTTAACAGGATGAAGAAGAATATAAAAGTGGAAAAGTTGGTGGAAACTTCCGCAGGATCTTCACGTTTAAATGGCTGGAAAAAGGAACTTCCGTAGCACTTTTTACAAAACGCTGCGGAAGTCTCCAAAAGTGTCAGCGGTTCCGCAGCATCTTGACCCGCCAGTATATCCGCAGGTTTTTGAATGTCTTTTTTACGATGTTGTCTCGCCAACAACTAGAATGCATCCTCTAACATGCCATCTTTAATGCAGAGGATATGAGTCTCGCAGTTAATAGAGCAAGGTTCAAATCTCGTTTAGGTGTTGTATTTTGCTGTTGTGGTTCACACTCTTCAGAACTCTCCGCAGCACCTCTGGGAATTCCGCAAGTGACCCGGCGGAACTTCCTCGAACGTTCTGCGGAAGTTCCTGTGAGTGAGAGTGAGGAATATCGTTTTGAGGGAAAAAAAGCAACGGGAATATCGACTGGAAGGCGGTTTTTTGCGACCCAATTTAGCCTGCTCGCACCGCGACGCAGTCTCCGTCTCTCACATGCACGTGCCCTCTGATCATTACCTAGACTCAATCAGGTCACGAAACCCTGTCTTCCAGCCTCCATGTCAGTTGAATACATGGGTACATGCACCACTTACCACTTAAACATCTTCAGACACGTAATGAGCAAGCTTTTGCCTGACATTCGTGTTCAAACACGATCACGCTTGAAGGCTCTCAACCTCGTTCCTTTGCACAAAGCAATAAACACTTACTTTTTTACAACTCCCAGATAACAGTATGATGCCAGATTCGGTGTTCAAACGAAGACAAGGAAGTACAAATTTCAAAATTTGTGGAGTATTTATATGTCTAAATGGTGTGGCAAGCTTTTACCACTTGTTTGCAGAGCACGGCTCACGATAATTCATATAAGCGCAGTGGCGAGTAAGAACAAAGTAGGAAATTATGTGAAAAAATTGCAGAAAACAGGCAAAAGCTTCTAGAGCATAGCAGCACGTAAGTCACAATAAGATTTTTTTTTGCTGGC